GAAACCTGTTTTGATCAGAAAACTGGCTTGCAAGGAGTACAAAATATTTCACAAACTTTCGAACCCGTCTTCCCCTCCCCGTTTTCATTAATGGGCATCTTTTATCCTGTCATAAGCAACAGCAACAAGACTAATTAGTTTAACAAGTACAACAAATGGCTTTATTGACAAAAAAGAACCCTTTGAAATATACATTACATTCACAAACGATTAAATTACACCCTATTATCCATTTTCCATAAAATAAAGATTACTTTGATAAATCACGACTAATGTTATCTTTGGCTGATAAGAACTCTGTGCTTATTTGTGTGGCTTCTATAAATAGTGTGTTCTGAATTTTTTTTTCTCCCTAAATATAGTCAATGATACAGTCTGCCAGGCATTTTCCTGCAATTTGACAATACCACATCTGTGAACTAGGCAGCAAATGAAAGCCTCATTGTCTGAATATGTAACATGCAACAGTCTTTTTCTCTTTTGTCAGCTGCTCTGCAGTAATCTATCAAACACCTTTCAGCCATATCTGCTCAATCAAGGCTTCCTTACTGCTAAAGCAAGGTAGTCAAAATAAACTTTTGTTGTTAAGAGAAAAGCCTTTGTGGTTCATCTTTCCATTGTATGCAAAGTCTGTGTGACAATTGTAGCGTGAAGGCGTCGTACCATCATTTAGGCCTTACTGTACATAAGGGGTAAGTGTATATTTTCAGGTGTAAAGGGCTCCTTTGCACTGTGTCTTTCCATAGCTTTGCATCAGAGGATGATGCAGATTACTGAAGATTTACCTGCATCATCTTTGAGGGGATGAGCAGTCGGTCAAGGACCAAGACAGAAGCAATGTCTTGGGTTTACTTCAGCCCTGGGTAAAGTTGCTCTTTACTCAAGGATGTAGATAGCTGGGGTATCGGAAGAAGACCTTTGTGTGATAAGAGGTTCACCCACCTTTTGAGTGTTTGGTAACCACGTATACTGGGCTAGTGTGAACACCCCCACTGGAGCACCAGCCCAGCAGCCTGGCTGGGCAGCAAATCCCTGGTTTAGTACAGCACAGGAGCACATGCTCACCTTTAAAATGCCTTTAAAAAACTTTTGAAGAACTAGTTCGATTCTGAAAAACTGAAGTTGGCTTCCTATCATGCAGCAGACAGCTGGAGAGACCTGCCCTGCTGTACGAAGGGCATTGCCTCTCCTACCCCTCAGGACAAATATCCAAGTTCAAGTTATATTCATTTCCCATTTTTTTGAAATTCTTTCAAGAAACAAATTGGCTCTGAGTTCAGCTGCTGCTTTGTATGCCACTGGGTGACTCAAAGCATCTCATTTTACTCCAAATTGCCCAAGGGTTAGACTTAGTGTAGCAGTTGGAGGATTGTCTTGAAGTTTAGTTTGCAAAGTGCTTAAGAGCGGTGGGGAAAAGATGTAGAGGTTCTGGAAATCTTGAACAAGTAAATCCCATATGCGAGGGAGTTCAGTTAGATGACACACATTTTACTTCTACTACCAGTCTCTTCTAATTTGCATTTTGAAAATTCTCTGAACTATTCAAACATAACACCAATTTAATGTCAATTTACGGCATCTGACCCTACCATGGCTGTTTTGGATGGGTGCCCTCGTCATAAGCAAATGTCTCTTTTTCTGCATTTTCCCTCAGAAGCAGGTGGCAGTGGATTTCAAACAAACCCACACCCATGTCTGTGTTGCTTCTGGAGGGTGTGTTTTACTCATGGAAATATGTCTAACCCCTTCGTTTAACTTTCAAAATTTTATAAGCTTCCCACCCCCTGGGTTGCCTGCAAAGTGACTCAGCAAGGCAAGCAAAGGGATCAAAGAACAGATAGAGTTTTTTAAATGAATGGAAAAGTTTAGTGGTTCTGAAAGTATTTTCCTCCAACACTTATTTCAAAAACTTTAATAAAAATAATTATAGCCGTGTCTATTAACAGCCAAAATGCAGGGCTAGAGTCATAAATCTCAGAGAATAGGGAGGAGCACTCCAAAATGCTGCAAAACAAATGTATTATCACCTTTCCAAACCTCCTTAAGCTTCTCTTTTTCCCCCCATAATAGAAAACAAAAAATCACTGTGGCTGGGCTGCTGTGTGCTTGCTATAATTAAAACAACTTTTGTGTTTTATTTCCACAGCGGTGTGCATGTTTATATAGAGGGGAGGAGAAAATTGTACACAGAGGACTGAACACAGAGGCACTGTCACCAGCGCAGATGAACCACCCTGGGCCCAACCTAAACTCAACTCTGTATCTTGCTGTTTGCTGGATATTCTGTGGGTGATAAAGTCCTGGGATCCTGATTCTGCTTCAGGGGCTCATGCACTGGAGGTCAAAGATAAGGTCCCTATGTAACAACTGGAGGAAGGTCTAGGCTTTGGAGTCCTCAGGAGAACGCTTATGTACATGCCACAGGGCCGAACTCCTCCTTGCTTATTCTATCTCATGCCTCCCATATTTTGCACTGATTTATGCACAGCTGTTAAATTCAAAAGGGAAGAAACAGAGCTGCCCCATCTTGTACTACACAACAGCCAAGTGCTCTCCAGGAAGGCGAGAGATGTCGATTCCAAACTCCTTTGGCCCAGAACCCAGCTCTCCCACTCCTCATGAAAGTGCTCTTTGCATCAGATGACGATGCAAAAAGAGGCCTTTTATGCATTTGTTCTCAGAACTAGGTTGTCAGAGAGCTGAGAGCACTGCCTACTATAGGCAGTACTCAAATACTTCTCTTTACCCCGTTTTCCCAAGCATATTGCTGCCCAGCACAGAATAACGGACTCACACTTTGAAGGCATGCCCCTCCATAGAAAGTGTTTAAGGAGAAGTGCTGACTAACTCAGCCCAGCCAGGTGAGCATCTCTCCATGCACTGTGATGCTCAAGTCAGACCTGCAGTAACCAGTCTGAATACGGACCCAGTACTGACACCCAGAATGACTCCATTTACTGCAATGCTTATGGGTCATCCATCTAACTGAGCAATTAGAGGACTGCAGCTTCATGGTTCCTGGTGTGAAAATCCTGGGAATTTGTAAAATAAAAGGGTCAGAAATGCCAAGCTAGAAAAGGCAGGTCAAAATCTAATCACCTTTTCCTTCCTCCTCTTAGGAAGGCAAGCAAGAGGAAATAACAACATGGAAGACAGAAGCCAGTAAATCAAATGCTTTTATTGACATCCTTTCTCATTTGTGACCCTTTGTCATTTACTTTAATCTCACAGACCAAAACTAGTGATTGACTTTAATTTTTCTAAGTTACAACTTTAATAGCTTTTGCATTTTTATTAAGAGAAGATAAAATCATGGATAAGTCTCTACATGGACTCAAAGATAGGAAGCAACTTCTTACTAATCCTCATGCAAACTACTGACTGATTATTGGAGACTGAGGTTGAGTGTAATTTCAGGAAAAAGTTCACTCTTATGTTAATCTAATAACAAGCTAATTTATAATCCTTTCACAACTGATGTAATTTTCATATATTAGATAATAATTATAGGCATATTAAGCAATATTAACATTATTAAACAACAATGAACAGCCTTCTGAATGTATACTATGGCAATGCAAAATCTGAGTAATTTAAAGTGCCTTACCTAGTAAAAGAGCATAATTCTCCATTACAGCTTTTCTAAGCTTCTAGAATTTTTTGTCTTACAGGTCTGGAGTTTTTAAACAGAATAAATCTAACATTCACATTTGCAGAGGAATTTATGCTTGATCCAAGAACTCCAGGGACACTTACACTTTCAAATCTTTTTCTATTATACCAACAAATTATGCCCATTTGGAAAAGAAGCTATTGTTTTATTGTGGTATTACCAAGGAAGCTGCTTTCTGAGCACACTGGATATGTCTTGTGCAATGAGTTTTCTGAGAGACTAAAATGTATTGCTGCTGCTCTTCTCTATTTCTTGCCCTTTTGCAAGCATACACTAAACTGCAGACTTGGCTGCCACTAAGTATATGTTTTATATGGAGAATATTATTACTGATAAAAATAAAATATGTAAGTTATTCAATATGAATGACTGCTCATCTCCCCCTTGATGTATACAAATAAGCCACATCTAATATGAGTGTAAACTCAGGCAACTGTAATAACTCCGTAGTACCCATACAACAACAAAGAGGGAAAAAAAAAAGTTAAATGCTTCCAACGAAACAGTTAGCTTAAATGATCCTTTAAAAAAAAAAACCCAAACAAAAAAACTAACCCCAAAACACCCCAAATTCCTTTTACTAACTTTTTGTTTCATGCAGGTTTCTCTATAACAAGGCTTTCCTAAAAGAAAAATATGTTTAAGGAATTTGCAGAAAATTATCATAAGGCCCAACAGAACAAGTGTCCTACTTATCCATTTTCCTCTTTTACTGGAAGCAAAGGTCCCCTAAATCATAACTCTCTATATAATTAGGGTTTCTACACAGAGCAGGTTCAGCTTTGCACCAAAGGAAGAAAGAAATGAAACCGTCGCTCATGGCTTTCTACGCATCAGCCTAGAATAACTACACGCCCTGGCTCTCCCACATAATTCCCAGAACAACCCGTGGCTGCCACAGGTGAACTGAACTATAATTTTTAGGAGTACCGCTGCAGACATGTAAACCACGAAAATCTCTTGGTGGATTATTAACTGAATAAATGCTTGTACTAGAGCAGATGGACTTTTTCTGTACTTACAAAAAAGCAAAACAAAGAACATGTACATGTGAAGGAGGAATGGACAAACTGCTGTGCAAACCATTTTCCTAACCTATACTGTTATTGGTCCCAGCCTTAAGAGATCAGCAAGTTTCAGCTGATATGAGGACTCCTACAGAACGATTGCACTAAAACAAAATCCTTCTAGTAAAACAAAATTATACATATAACTTAAAGCATTAAGTTCCAGGTTATGTACATGCATGTAGTTCAAATATTTCTGTTTCTTAAAGAAAATACCAGAATTAGCAACAACGATAATGGATTCTAAAAAAGCACACAAATTTTGCCTCAAAGACTTAATCAACAGGATTTGAAAAACAGCATAAAGTATTCTGAAATTATTTATGAGCTGTAGAAGTGATGCACTTGAGACATTCAAAGTATATCAGTTATATTAAAATTACAGTTATCGGCGTTTACTGATGATAGGCTGAGAAAAAGAGTGAAAGAACAGGGAAAAGAGCAAATAAAAATATTGGTGAGGTCGTAAGAGACACTGGTTCAACCTCTAGTTGAAAGGATTATGTACAGCAAGGAAAAAGCTTCTTTCTCCTTTTTCAAAGAGATTGCATAGTGTCACGGTCTATTTCCATTAGAGGAATACATTAAAATAATTTTTAATCTATATTCTATTTTCTGGCCTATAGAAGGTGTTCAAAGACACAGGAAAGACTAGACTTCTGCCAAGCAGATTAAACAAAACCGCATTCCTACATATTTTAACTATACAGTTACACATCAAAATTCAAAACAGAAAAAGAACTCAATGCGAATACTCAACAAACACAGAATTATGGATTCTGATAAATCTAGGGGAAGCAAAACTATGAAAGGAGTGCCTGAACTTGATGAGGAGATCTGTGTAGTATGGTTTCTGGATCCTTATACTCATTTGAAGGATCCATCACAGCTGCATATAACTCACTGTAAGCTCTGCAGACCAGTTCTGTTGACTGCTTTATTATCTGCTCTCTAAAAAACAAAAGAAAAACATAATTTGCAAATCGTAGGGAATATAACTGTACTACATACAAGGAATTAAAGATATACGTTAAAAATACACATTAAAAATCAGTGTCAGTTACATTAAAAAGCCCTTTTACTTCAACTGTGAAAACAGCTTAGTGTTTTAAAACAAGAGAAGGCTTCTTCATCTCTTTGTATTGTACATAGATAAACTCACATATATGATCCTGATAACCAAGAAATTAGCTTCGTTATTTCTGCAATCATGAAAAAAAAACAGTAGAAGGATTTAATTTGCATACATTAGTTTCTCACCTGCACTCCCCTCCATCTTTTAAAAGACTGATTATCTTAGTGATCTACCTTCTACCTCCTGTGGCTTCTCGCTGTCCTTTGTAAATGCACACATTTTTTTTTCATCTACCGGCAAATACATTCTATTTGCTTTATCTTGACAGTACCTGATTCCATAATCAGTCAAAAAGGAAGAGCTGAAAGTGACAGTGGTCAGAGGTTTAAAACTTGCTACAGCCTTTTACCAATGATCCTCTCAAGTCTGTATCCTGTTATTGTTCTGCATCTAAGTGAGTAACAATGCACAGAGACTGGATGCTAAATTTAACTGGAAAGTTTAGTATTTTTTGAAGACAAACTAATATTTTTATTTTACATTGCCTATTGAATCAGTTTACTTTAATCACCATAGTTAGGTGTCTAGAGTTGCAGATGCATTTTTATCTAATCAGAAACAGTAGTTACAACTATTTTACAGCCAAACCCAGAAGTGGAACACCAGAAGCTGAGGAAACCAAGGTAACCATGAATCCAGATTCAGCCCTGCTGTAATACGCAGCGAAGGAACAAAGACACCGAAACTGCATCCACTAAAATCAGGGCTGAATTCACCAGCTGTTGGGAAATGACAAGTTAAAGAAATCTCAAAGACCAAGTGCATAGAACTTCGTCTTTTCAGGAAATATTACGAAATGGAAGCTATGAGAAAGAAGATTAAGAGACAAAACCTGCATTTTATTCTGATGCACAGCATCCAGTTTTTTGATATACAGGATCAACTGCCAGTATTACTAGGTTATTAGAATACCTGAAAAAAAGACTGGCCTCTAGAAACACTATTATAAGGGAAATATATTCAAGGTGTTCAGGTAAAACAACTGTCTCTGATCACAGTCTGGGATCACTAAGCTACTGTAACATGACAATCGTTTAAGAAAGTATTACACACAGAATTTGTATAAAACTAACTGTATCGTAACAAATAATATTAAATTAAAAGAAAAAGTTCATTAAAATATTCCAGAGGACTGAACAGCATCAAATGAGCCTTTCCATCAAATAATGTCAGTGTCATTAATCAGTACATTAGGATTTCAGTTGCCATAACAACATGATACATTTTATCACTAACACAAATGACAGCACTTTCTAAAAATAGTAATTCCAGCATTCAGTTTCTGTGATCCAACACAAATTAAAAGAGCTTTTCAAGATCAACAACCACATAAATAAATAGCTTAAAACTTTTTAAATGAGCAAAGGAATTTGAAAGACAAGAGCATGCACTGGCAAATGTTGGGAGGAATGTTCTTCATAGCTGTAAAGCTTAAATGATATTGCCAGTGAGTATTAACACACTGATCCCTTATCAAAAGCATGTGGTCTGATTTTGAGAACCAAAGAACTCTTGGGTTCCAGCTCAACCGTTGGAACAGCGGATCACAATTATGTGATTTCAAGGAAGACATCTTCAAAATTGACATCAAATGTCTGCAAAACCAACTTCAAAATTTCACCTACTATAGCCAGAGATTAAAATTATAGTACTGGTTAAATGTTTTGCTTGAATTTTGAGAAACTTTTGAATTTTGAAGGTTTACTTACTACAGAAAATATTGACTATTAAGACTGTGATTCTACAAGCATGCATCTCTGTAAATAGGTAAGTTAACTTCAAAAGGATTGCTTATGTTTAAAGCTACATGTTTGAAGGCTAACAGATTACTTACTTATTTTAATTCTGAGCAGAACCTGACCTATAGTGTTGAGTTATAGCAGGTTAATAAATTGCTGCATGTTAGCTGAGGTGTAGCAGCTATAGCAATCATCCTCACACAGGCTCCCCTCTCACCTGCCCGCTGTTGCAAGATAACATGAATATGGCTTAAATTGCACTGAGAGGTTTAAAAGGCTTATCAATGGGAGAAGGCTAAGAGTGCATACATGACCAGTTTATCTGACAGAAAAAATTAAGTCAAAGTAATTTCACCGTGCCTGAGTCTTTATGGTAGCATAAAGTCTACCTCTGAAAAATTGCTTCTGTGCCAGCAGTGAAAAATTAAGGCTTTTAAAATACATTTACTGTTATTATGATTTTTACATAGACCTACATGAAAAAAAAATACCAAGAGCTAAAATACAGGTTTAATAGCTTGACGCCTAGAAGCAGAAGTTGCAATGCTTCACTGACATTACTGCTCAAGCCACCCTGTTTGATCCGTACTGGAGCAGAACAGCTCTCACACAACAGGGTCAGCTCTGCTGGCTGAGCTGGGGGAATGGTAACCCTAGCAGAGAGACCCAACGAACCACTGAAAAGCACCAACATCCCCCATGCCAAGCCATGCACCAGGTATGTGGCATGAAACTGGAAGTCTCTGGATGAGGAAAATCTGAGTGATACAGCAGGAGAACCTGGCAGGCAGTTGGACTAGCTGATTGTTGTAGGTCCCTTCCAGTTGAACTATTCTATTCTATTAAACTCCCAACAAAAAATATTTTTCCCTTGACACATGTCATTTTTTAACTGCATGATGCTGTAATACAATCCCGCTCTGAGGACAGCTACTAGTAACGAGACTCCAAATATTGTTACATTACATAAAACGTGATGTACTAGTCTCAATTTCTGGTATATTCTGTAACCTGCATTCTTCACAAAAATGTGAAAAATAATGTCAGGAAAAGTTTTTGATCAGTGCAGCATATAATTCTCTGAGGTTAAGTACTACAAAATATCTTCATATCGTTCACATTTAATTGGAAAGAAATTCATGGCACTTTCCCTAGCCTTAGGGTTCAGTTATATTCAAAAAACAAGAGAAGAGATAATGAACTTCTCGCGTCCATACTTCAAAGAAGAAATCACTATAAAAAAATCATATTAGGTGAAAAGTAAAGTAATCTCAGTGCAATATTCAATGAGGCAGAATGCCAGTACTCTACAGCAGAAGACAACAAAGTTGAAAATTCTAGACCTAACAGAGTAGTGGGGATAAAAGAAATCTTGAGTGAAGGATTAGATATTTCATCTGTCTTTGGAATGCTTACAAAATAGTTCTAAACCAATTTACAACTAAGTTGACAAAAAACTGCCGGCACAGTGGAACATGTTCAAAATAGATGAATGTAATTGATTTTGATAGTGTCTGTTAAATCAAGAGTAACTACTTCAGAAAGTTACAGAATTACATATTCCTCACTGCTTGTTCAAAATGAGGAGAGTCAGAACAAAACTGAATTGTGACCTGAAGGACAATGCAAATATGATCACAGCTGATAACTTGAATTCTCATCACGATCCACTAAAACCTAATCAAATTCATCTTTCTGATCATTATGCAGGCATAATAGAAATTCAAAGGTAAGGCACTTACTTCACAGTGGCACTCAGAAGGAAATTCAGCTGGGACATTAGCAGACTATCTGGAGCAGACAGATAGCGATCAAACTGAGCCTAGGGTGGAGGGGAAAAAAGAGAATATGAGATCAACATATTAGGAACTTGCTGTTATATCAAAATAGGTAAAAACACACTCTGAAAAGTGATTACGTTAAAATGGCACCTTCTTATTTGATAAAATTTTCTCTTTTTATATATTTAAGATAGAGCCTAACATAATATGCAAATGTTTAAGGCAGAACTTAATAGTCCAAATCAAATGTCTAACTTCAGCACCTCTGTCACCAAAATTTTAAGTTTCTGACTCTGAGGAGTATGAGTGGAGGGGCAAATAATGAGAATCCAGCTTCCATAATTAAGCGTCTAAGTTTCTTATACAGCTGGTGCACGTATGCATGCACTGCTGAAAGATCTAGTCTATTCAGTGCAGAGGGAATACAGTAGCCTCCACACAGAAATCTAGTCTGTCCAAGTTAGACATGTTGCACGTGCCTTTCTACATGTTCCTTTCTATGTGTTTCTTTCTACTTTTTGGCAGGGAGTCACTGCTTAATAATCTAAGGAGCACTTATGTTGGGAAAAAACAAGAGCAAGGGACCTAGTTCAGGCTCCTTGAACTGCTTCTAGTCCTACTTCTCCTCCCCCATATAATACAGTGAAAAAAAACGTGGTGCTTTGATTCTAGTAGTTTGGAGAGGAAAACACCAAGAAAGAACATTACTGCTGTCTTCAACTATTTGTCAGAGAAGTTGTGGATGCCCCATCCCTGGAAGTGTTGAAGGTCAGGTTGGATGGGGCTTTGAGCAACCTGATCTAGTGACAGATGTCCCCGCCCATGGCAGGGGGTTGGACTAGATGAGCTTTAAAGGCCCCTTCCAACCCAAACCATTCTATGATTCTCTGATCAAATAGGTGACTATAGAGAAGATGGAGCCAAGTCTTCTCACAGGTGAAAACATGAGGAATTCTGGACACATATTACACTGAGGAAAATTCTGATTAGATAGTGAGAGGAAAAATTCTCACCAGGAGTGTCATTAAACACTGAACAGGCTACCCAGAAAAGCTGTATAATCTCCATCCTTGGAATTACTCACTCAGGCAAGGCCCTAGGCAACTTTATCTAATGATGGCAACCTTCCTGAACACTGGATGAATACTCTCAAGCTCGTAAACCTTAAAATCCACATCCATGCATCATTTAAATGTGCAAAAAGTGGGCACAAATGACTAATGAAGTCACTCACAGTTCTCAGGAATTCGTTTTTTGGCATTATCTGCCCTTGTTTGGAAAGCAAGGGAGCCTTAGCTGAGGGAGAGGTACGGACTTTACTAGAACAGTGAATCTGCCTGCAAGTACTCCCTCCACATGGTTTAAATCCTGGGAAGCAAACAGATTAGAACCATAGAATCATAGAATCATTAAGGTTGGAAAAGGCCCTTAAGATCATCGAGTCCAACCGTTAACCTAGCACTGCCAAGTCCATCACTATACCATGTCCTTGAGCACCATGTCTATCCGTCCTTTAAATACCTCCAGGGACGGAGACTCAACCACTTTCCTGGGCAGCCTGGTCCAGTGCTTGACCACCCTTTCGGTGAAGAAGTTTTTCCTAATATCTAACCTGAACCTCCCCTGGCACAGCTTGAGGCCATTTCCTCTTGTCCTATCGCTTGTTACTAGGGAGAAGAGACCGACCCCCACCTGGCTACAACCTCCTTTCAGGTAGTTGTAGAGAGCAATAAGGTCTCCCCTCAGCCTCCTCTTCTCCAGGCTAAACAACCCCAGCTCCCTCAGCCGCTCCTCATAAGACTTGTGCTCCAGACCCTTCACCAACTTCGTTGCCCTTCTTTGGATGCGCTCCAGCACTTCGATGTCCTTCTTGTAGTGAGGGGCCCAAAACTGCACACAGCATTTGAGGTGCGGCCTCACCAGTGCCGAGTACAGGGGCATTGGTGAGTATTAGGCTGCTAGATGGGATTTATGTGGGTTTGATTTCAACATACTGGGTTCCATTTTGGTTAAAGTGTATTCACGCAAGCCAACATTAAACAAAGTAATGAAAAACAAAACAGTTGGATTCTTCTCTAACTATTCAAGTGAAATTATCATGTACTGCTATAAAAAACAGTGTTACATATATATACAATTTAAAGAGATGGTCCCCAAGCTGTGGTCTTTAAATTCCTCATTGGTCTACAAGACCATGATAAATAGAACATATTTTAAATATAAAATTTATAAGATGATAAGAATGCATGCTGATCTTAGTAAAACACTGAGTGCTCTGTGCAAGAGCTCTGTTCATCCAACCAGCTTGGAAATCACTGGTTTAAAACTTGAACAGAGGAAAGCAGGCTACACTGACACAATTAGGATGGATTCAACACACAATTTAAAAACAAAAAAACCAAACCACCAACTTTTAAAAAAAGAATTTTCTTTTAAAAAGACTTTTTTTTCGGTGGGGGTATACATGTACTGCTGGATGAGTGGGCTTTATTTACAGTCAAACTTTCAGAATAAAGCTAAACTTGGCTAAGCAAGAAGAGTGACAGATCATATATTATTGCCTGCCAAACTGTGATATTGCTATCTCTATGCAAAATAGCCTTCACACACTCTAAGAAAAAATATCAGCTGATAATTTGTTTTAAAATATATTGTAGCTTTCAACTTAAAAAATATAACTGTGACATATGCCCAGCACCTAACTTCTGAGTTTAACTGAACTATCTGCATAAAATCAAAGCCTTAGGACTAAAATTATAAGTGACAGCACAACCTATATTTCAAAGCATACAGGCAAAAAAGAAACTTTCATGATTAAAACTAATTAGAGCTAAGTATCTGCTTTTAGCAATTTAAGATGACTCATGGGATAGCATTCTTGTAAGTAAAGTTCTGTTTCTCAAGGCTTAGAAACTAACATTCTATTACTACCCGTTCATAAATAATTTATGCATTTATTACTTCAAGTGGTCAAATTACTACAAATGAAGAAAGTATTCCCAGACGTGTAATTTAGTTATTTTAAAGAGTATGACTGGTTAGATGAATATCTACTACATCACATAATTAATAGTATTCTTTCCCATGTCACAGCATCACCACCATAATATGAAATTGTAAAATGCTTACCATTGCAACCTTCAGGGACACGGAATCCATACTTGGTAAATTTGAAAGAGGACCCTAAGAATCAGTAGTCAAAGGCAGGGGGGGAGAAAAAGGTCATGTTAGCATATGGAAAAAGATAAGAAATAATAAATTCTACAATCAGTTCAGTATTAAATTGTTACTTGGTCCTCCTACAGGATCTTAAATGTTTGGAAAATGAATCACCATATCAATACTGAAATGCTGTAGCAGTTCATTTATATTCTACCGCTCTCTTAAATTAAAAACTCAGAATACTGAGTTCGTAATATGTCCTTTCAAGTCCCTTTCTTCCTTCTTCACCATTAAATGATAAACCCCCCAAAAAGTCTTCCACAAGGTCTAGGATAGAAACTGAACTGCAAACTGGCACATTCCCTTGGTGTTCCAGAATTACAGAGGACAACTTCCCTCTATTCATCTGTTCCAGGACCGTGCAGAATTCAAGCCTGCTGCCAGTAAATCTGTGCTGGTATGGCACTACAATGTATACATGCTGCCTAACCCCCTAGCAAATCCAGTGACAACATCACCTCTGCAGCTAGGCAGCTGGACAGACATAAATGAAAATTGCGACATTCCATCAACAATCTGCCCTGGTTGATTTGAAATTGGTTTTAGAACATGAGATAGGCTCATGAATAGAAAACCAAGCTGAGTTATCAATCAGATTATTTATAGATTTATTTATTCATCTTTATACATAAAAATCTGTTGAGTTTGGGCACTTTATGCAAAATTATTGGCTGAAGAAACAACATAAAGCTCTCCAACAGAGTTCTGCTTTCTCCAGAAAACACTGATCTTCACCTTCACAGAAGATCACAGAAGGACATAGGCACAACTGAAGGGAAGAGGGGCTGTATTAACACCTATCACAAGCGTGAGCTCTGAATTCCAGTGTCCTGCTCACTCTAAGAAATCTCAAGTTTTCACTTTTAGAATATCACTGCCTTGGTGCTAGAATAGCTAGAGCAATGAATAAGGACAAAAGGAAAAATTATTTCAAATTACTACTAAACTCATCTGCCAATTTTTCACAGAAGAAAAAAGCAGTAATTATCTAATGCATGCAAGGGTACCTATCCACTCCATGTATGATGCTATAGCATGCAATGGAAGAAACCTGAATGGTACATGCACAGTAGGTCCAATATGTTCTAGGTGTCATGGAAGTGGTGGTATACATACTCAGTATTTGTGTTTTAAAGCCAGCTTGACTCTGACACTTTCTGAGGCATATTAAACTACCTATACAGTTATTCTGAGAACGTACAGGACGTCTGTGGTGTACAGAGCCTGTTGATGGTACACAGCTAAACGGCACAGAAGGACTGTTGCATACCAAACCTGCTAGGCTTGCTGAACATACAATGTAGGGGAGATCTGTAGTTGCAAGGTGCCTTTGTCTAATAGGGCTGGTCCCGTGTGAAAAATCAACAGATATTACTGAGCTTTTGCTTTCAGAGGAAGCTTAATTTGCAAAAATATTAGTGCCAAAATTCTTCTAGTTGGCAAGTATGCAGTACCTCCTCAACATGTACATTATATAAGCCTACCTGTTCCGGTTTGTGTTGCTGCACAGAGTTATATATGTAACTTAGACCGGCTCTTGTTAACACATAGGAAGCTTGTTCATTTATGAGTGTATCTAAATGAGCTTCAATCTGAAATTTTAAGCATAAGGTATTTATAAAATGTGCATGAGAATATTAAAGAGAACAAACTCTGGGGTTAAAAGGTCTAGAAACACAAATAAGAAGAAAAAACACAAATAAAAAGGAGAGTGATCGACAAACAAGGAAAAACCACAAATACATACAGCATGATTATTTTATCAATTTACATCTTCCGTATTACAAGGAGGCAATAATAAAAATATAGATAATTCTTTCACATCTGACTAACAGAAAAAGACCTCACTTTTTTGTATTTGTAAATTCAACAGCACAAAAAATTAAGAATACCAAAGCTCTAATCTTAAAAGTTACTATATTGTTTTATTTTGCTCTAGTTCTTTGAAACTATGTGATAAAAATCATCCAACTCTTATTGAAAGTATTGACAATAGCATGGCAGTTTTGTAATAAACAAGAGAAAGAGACAGTCTTTCACAAGGAAAATAAAACTGAAACTAAATCATAATCAGTAATGATTTTAAATTCAATAATGATAAACATGCATTTGAAAAAAGTTAACTGAAAGAACAATAGACAATGAAATTACAGCTATCAATTTTGCTTTAATTATCTTCATATGAAAAAAGTCATAAACATATTTTACATTCTTAGTATAATCTTCACTTTGCAGAGAAACCTATTCAATAAATCCAGTCACAGCAGCAGCAATCATTTTTTTCTTTTGAGTAATCTTGCAAAGATATTTGGGTATATATACATTATTACTTCATTTTTACAGATAACTACCCCACATTTCATTTATTTTTCTTCCAATCCTAAAGAAAAGCAAAAATTTATAATATATCAAACTCTAGTAAACTGTAAGACTTCCATGTCTGATATTTTAAGAGTTCACCTTTTTACTTCCTAAAATTGTTTAGAAAAAACACACTCTTCTTTTTAAATCAGGAGGGAAATCTTAATATTTCAATTTGGAGATTTTAACTGTCTTAGAGAGTTCTTTTTTTGTATGAAAAATGTTTTTCTTATTAAATATGCCATTCTAACTCCACTTTAATAACCTACTTATGTATAATCTTAAAGATATCTTTTCCATCTGTTCCTGTATTTGTAAAATAGAAATTGAAGAAAGTAAATGGTATTAAATGCACAACCTTCAGGTTTACTGCTTATTCAAAGAATAAATCAATTGCAACATTTACTGTGGAAAAGAAACTGTGATAATGGAAATCAGAAATGCCCCAGACACTTTTGTGGGGTTGTCTGTTTGTTTCAGAGCTAAAAGGTGCTAGAAATTCTAATTAGGAGTAGAAAGTGAAAAATGGCTCACAGCCAACCTTTACTGATGCCTTCGAATGAGAAGTTGTGACCTTTTTCCAAGCCCCACAGCTCCAAAAGCTCTCCTGAGATATATTGCAGAGATATTCATGTAGCAAAACTATAAATGGGCAGTGCCTAAGTCTTCCCAAGTCAATGGTTTCTAAACTACATTTCCGTTTCAAAATGGTACCACATATGAACTACTATCCTGGCACGTTAAGTAAAACAAAACAAATGAGAAAAGAAAGGTAGAAAGAAGGATTGAAGTAGTAACTTCAGCTATACTATGTCCTACTATAAACCAGATGATGATCTAGTATTAAGTATATGAAGGAATATAGTCAGCTATTTGAGCTTTCAATTTCAATTTGCTTCTTCTCACATGGTTTGCAGATAAATATTAGGATGATTAGGACAATGAAAATGTTCACTGATGTGGGTTTATCTGCAACTAAACTGAAACAAAACAAATCTTCTAATATTTTTTTTTGTCCGTTTAAAATGAAAGATGCTGTGTATCATAAGCTCTGATACCTGCTATTTGCTTATGGTCTCTGATAAGAAGCCCTCTTATCCCATTTCCCTGATTTAGAATTGACCCAAAGCCGACATTATCAAAGATAAATATGTTCACATCACAACTTATAGTCTGCAAAAAATCAGTAATAAGTTGATTTTTTGGGGGGGGGCTGTTAAAGCTTACCTGAAACTGTAACATTTCTAGACGTTTGTCAGTGAATTCAAAGAGAGCCAAAGTAGTCTTCATCATATAAAGCGAATTTACCATGAAGGTTGCCATATCGGCTGTGCCCAAATTACTAGCAGACATAGTACACATCTGTAACAATGGATCTAGCACACAAGACAGAACCTAAAATAGCAAACACACAGAAAAGAGGGAGGGGAAGGAGGAAATCATGTCACACGAGGTTTCTAAGCTCATTCTGTCTCTATCACGTATTTATTCCCCAAAGCAGAATAAAGAGAAATGAGAGTTTCCAACTGTGAATGCAGTTTTCTACTGGATTTGTCAGCAGGTGATCAGCTACCATAGTGATGGGAAAAGTATAAAAACCTGAGAAGAACAGATTCCAAGCTAGCAGGGGGAAGAGTAACCTGGATTAGATAATTGGTAATTGTGCAATCTTGAGGGTGTATTTACTTAATGGAGTAGTAATTGGATAACAGAATTTAGATACTGCGTTAAGAGTAGCACTCCATACTGTACCGTAATTATCCACTTTGTTAGTCACCCTCTTATTCACATTACAAACTCGGGTTTGGTAGAAAGCTCCAAAATGGGACCAGACAAAAAGATTAATGTTTCACCCATCTTTTGTGTACCGAGACTAACTTACACACACTTTTCCCCCCCCCGAACCATAACTTCCCCCCCACTTCCCCCCCCCCCCCCCCGCCCCCCTCTTCAGAGCAAACATTCTTATACCTGCACAAAGTCAGCTTGACGGGCATCCAGTGGAACAACAGATGAGTCGTGAGATGCCAGAACCTCCCGTAGCAAGTTAAGTGTCTGATTTAGCGCAGAGCTTGGGCCAAGATCAGGCGGTGGGAGTTCAACCTGAAGAACAAGATTATCTGTTTGTGGTTTTTTGTTTAATTTCATTTACAGCAAACACCATCCAATCTGTTAGCACAAATGCAACCAGCTAACAATAAAATTACATGTAGCATGCAGAGAAGAACTTTAATTTGACGCTGGACAAATCTAGCGAGTTTCAGACAATAATTGCCTGCAACTTTCAGCATAACCATTCCATTCAATGACAAACAAAACCGAATTTCTCCTTTCATTCAGACTATGCCTATTTTATAATCTGGAGAAACGCAAACACTACCGTTTTTGGTAGCAAAAAAAATACCTTTGCTAGATTAGGTGCCAAAGAATAGCCACATTGTTGGCACCACTGAGTTCACTTTGAGCAGGACCTCCTGTAAACACTCCAGAGTCTAGTGCAGGCAGAGCTCTGGGATACTAGGGCCATATTGCAGCAGCTGAATGAAGGCATCTTCTTGACAAGGCTGCACAGCCCCTATCGTGTTGAGTATGAGAACTGCAGTCACAGATCCAACAGTCTTAATCCCTAGCAAGTTTGTACCTTAAATTACCAGTAGACAAATGAACTGTGCACAAGCTAACTCAAGTACACCTACATAAACTGCAACGATACTGTAAGAACTGGAATGCAGGCCTACCTCAAAGATGAGAATCAGGGATTGCAGACATTTAAAAAACAGAAAGAAGAAAATTTTGTAATTCTTAAGAGAAAAAAGCCCACACTTTCTGAGTCAAATTACGAAAAGTTGGAGTGCTTGAAATAGACTGAAATTCTATGCTATTCTTAACACAGGCTCACATACATTAGCCCTTCTTTGTAACAGGCAAATACCCACTGAATGCTTCATAAAATGTTTATGTAATATAAAACCTAGCACATCTCTTTCCCAACCCACATTCCTCAGGCTTCACTCGGAACATAACTGCACCTTCTTGTCTTCAATGCTGCCTCAAACTGGGTTCCTGCTGCTTCCAGACCCTTACTACAACCCAGGCTGCTGGCCTCGATTC